AAGTCTCTAATTGGTGGTTTAAAGTAATTAAAAAAAAAAGAATCCGTTAACGGTCAGTCTATTTTTAGTTTAAAGGTTGGACTTTATATGGTCATAAAGCAAAATTCTTTGCTTAATTATGGGAATTGAAATACATTGGCTTAATTGCACTAGGAACTGCACACAAGAGTGCAGAGAGGACATGCTTTACCAGTGATTATCTGCTGATAAAATACTACACAGAGCAACAAGTGGAGACGCTCCAGGCTCCAGAAAGCATCCTGAGGCCAGAACTGCTGAGCTGGCTGAGCTGGTGGGGAGGAGATGGCATCAAATCCTCTGCAGATGGTCAGGGTCCATTCCCACCATGGCACTGGCTGCCTTGCCTTGTACTTGTGGAGACTTGGAACTGGACGGGATTAAAGGAGCGATTTATGACTAAAGGCTTGGTTGAGGAGTTGTTTTGTGTTCTGGAGATGCCTCCAGAAGCTGGGGAAGCAGCTGTGGGAGGTTTGAATGGCAGAGGATTTGTTGGTGGGACATGCAGGCTCCTGATGATGAGGAGATCCATCTGCTCATTTGCCTCTCGAGTGGACAAGTAGGTCCTGGAAGGTGTCAGAGTGCTTGGGGCAAGCCTGGGGCTGTCATTCCTGAAGCTGAGTTACCTGGGACGCTAAATTTGGGAGCCTGGGAAGAAGATAGAATTTCGGACATGGCGGTACCTCTTCCTGAAGTCTTAGGGTGTGCCTGGGAAAAGGATGTGACAAGCAGGTGAAGAGCCACAACTTCACAGCATGTGCTGGTTTTCACTTCAGCCAAGGTGTCCCTTGACTGGTGGCATGGGAAGTGGGCAGGGTTTTGGGAGGATGGACTGAACACAGCGCTGGTGGGAGGCTGAGGCTGTCGGGGCTGTTCAGTGTGGGGTACGTGGAGGTTGAGGGCAGAGTTGTGTGCACAGGAGGGACAACCAGCTGCCAGGCTGTGGGCTGGACTAAGGGATGGGCATGTCTGTGTGGAAACATGAGACAAAAATAGTTGTTGTAGACTGCTCGGTGGGGAAAAAAGATCTTGGCACAGCTGGTCTGATTGAAACATGGTGGGGGTGATGAAAATCAATAAGATACTGCATTACCTGCCATCACACTGTACTGAGCAGGTGTGCTGGGCCATAAGGGAGGAACACTACATCTAAAATTTGCTGTAAAATCTGAGAGGAAATTGGAGTAGTGATGACCAAACAGCCGCATGTATGTTGGATATAAATTCTATATTTTAATGACACGGAGGTATTAGAAGTTTTCTATTCCAGAAGGAAGTTGTGGATTTCATGGGGCTTGGAAGAAAACTAAGGCTCATGCATCTTCATAAACCTGTAAGAAAAAGTAAATTCCATTATGACCATGCTGTCACAGATTGTTTGGGAAGGAGCTGGGTAACATTTTGGTGAGCAAACATCTCAATTTACTTAAAGGATCATGTCTTGCAACAGCCTGGTCTAGAGTAAGCCTTGCTTTAGGACTAAGACATAAGAACTGGTTCAAGATACATTTACTGTTGAGTTGTTAAGTAGCAAGGACCACAGCACAGGTTCAGTATCCTCAGGAGTAGAAGGTGGTGGACTAAAAAAAATTACTTGTGTTACAAAATATTGCAGGGGAGAAAATCAGAAAATAACATCCTTGGACTTGTCAAGGCAGCCCTGTAGATACCTGGAAAGGTTACAGGCATCCAGGTGAGACAGAACTCTGTCATGAAGGAGCAAAGTAAAACAGTTTTTAAAAATATTTATAAGAAAGGGACTAAGGACAGAAGTCCAGGTCTTGAGGAACAGACTATAAGAGCCATGGAGTAGGGCAGGTAACCATGATCTGGAAATAAAGCAGTTTTGAAGGGGCTCTGCAGAGCAGGGGGCCTGGAGGAGTGAATCTTGTCTGAAGGACATCAGAGAGAGGGCTGGGGAGAAAATCTGAGCGTGCAGGACTGAAGACACAGTTCATTTCCTGCACTAGTTCATGCTGCTGAAGTGACTTCCCCATGTCATTCAGGAGCAAGTTTGAGAACCTGCCCTCACCCAGTCCCTTTGGGTAGTAAAGATAAGGAGCCTCCCTCTGAAACTCAGGTGTTTGAGGTGGAGATGCTGGAGCAAAGTAGGAAATTCAAGTGGAAGAGCAACAGGTTTTAAAAGAGCTTGGGAATGAAACACCAAAGGTACTAGCAAAAATAGTGCTGTCAAAAAACAGCTTAGTATTCTCCATGACTAGATAACATTCTAATGTTGACTTATTATTTTTTTTTAATTAAAGTATTAATGGGGGCACTGGGAGTTACAGATCAGCACCCCCGAACTCTGGTTTGAGAAGGAGAAGCTGAAACGCTGTAACTCTTCAGTGTGTGAGAGGTGGAAAGGAACATAATTTCTGCAAAGAAAGGGGTTGGACCAGGTGGTCTTTGAGGGTCCATTCCAACCAAACCATTCTTTGATTCTGTGATCAATCTTGTTTTCTGGGCCATCTACCAGAATCTTTGGACGCGCTGACAAATAGCAGGAGGTGAAGAATGAACTGATCTTTATTTGAGCGTTTTAAAAGGTTTTTATCAAGTGCTTCCAAGAAGGCATTAAAAAATGTGCTTCTAATGAGAAGAGAAATATCACAGAGTCCTTCTTTGGTTGCAGTTGATGTTGATCAGTTGTCTAGTCTGGTTGGAGAAGGTGATCAAAGGCCTCCAAGTCTGCATCTTCAGCCTCTGAGCAAATGAGCTTCCTTCCATGGTTTCATTAAACCCAAAGTTGCTGAGTGGTGGATGGTTGATTTTCATTAAACTTTTCTGGTGGACACAACTAGGTCCAGGCTGCAATGTCTGGTTGGGCAAAGGGGAGAAACAAGCCCAGAATACTGGGTAGCATGGGATCTGGATTTGTCCTGTAATGCAACACCCCCAGTTCAAATTCCTGCCCTGAGCTGGACTTGCAGGTCTGCCAGATCCCAGAACGTGCCTCAGCAGTTGATGTTGTGGATAAGTTCTGTTTAGTTCTGTTTTGACCAAGAAAAATCCTAAAAGGTTTTGGTTTTGATGATGGGCAGAAAGGGAAGGAGCAGGGAGAGAGGCCTGGACGGCATCTTCCAGGTCTTTTCCTTGCGAGAGAGTTGCTGGTGTGTGTTCTTATGCAGACCTGTGTTGCCTCCCTTCCCAAGAGACCCTGGAGGACCCACAGGTAGCTGGTCTCAGCCAGAGCCATCTTTTGCTGCTCTGGCTTAATTTTAGGCTTCTTAAAAGTCTAGAAGGCATGACAAATACTCTGGCTTCTCCCACCTTCCCTGTCTCCAGTAGATCAGGGTACTAGAGAGTGAGTGTTTGATAAGTTGTTGGAGTTTGCAACAGGAGCAGGTTTACTGCAGGTACCATGAGGCTTTTGGTCAGAGTTCATGTTTAAAGACAACAATTAGCAGCTGATGGAGCAGAGTGGTTGGGTTATATTGGAAAAGTGACTCCAGCCTGGCCATGGCTGGAAAATTAAGAAGAGCATGATAATGTCTGGCTGTGCTGTGAGCATACAGCAGTGGGGCTGATCCTGGGAAATGTGAGGCAGCAGGTAAGGGGGGTGGGAAAAGCAATTTTTAATGCTCCACCAGTATTGCTAGGCTGTAAGTGAGCTGCAAAATTGAAGAATATCACACTCTGTTAGCAGAGCAAATGAAGTGAAGGTGTGTAGCGTGCCACAGGAATCCTGCCTATCCCAGGTCTGTGAGGCTGCTGAGCCGAGCCTGTACCACATCTCATTACACCCCCACAGTGTCCCTGTGCTGTTCTCCCTGGTCATCTCGGGTGGTTGTCACCGGCACAACCTTTGTCCCTACTCTCTAGAAATTCCTTAGATTGCTCACTTCTAGTTAAATTATACCTGCTGACTTTGAAGTACTCAATATAAAACTGTCGTGGTATCGCTTGCATGATAGTTATTTGATGTAAGAAAACAATTTCTCGTGCTCTCTCTTTAGGAATTTGGGCTTTGGGTTTTCAGTGGGGAGTGTTGTACGTGCCCAACTGCACAGGGTCGGGCCCATCTCTGTTTTAAAGTGTTATTTCACATCTGAGATTAGAAAACAAACCAGAAGATCAAGTTGTCACAGGCTCAGATGATCATAGTGACTCGTGCTAAAGGCTCCGTCCTCGTAGAGACCGGCACGGCTGCTTTGTGTAACTGCTGTCAGAGCTCTGGCGTTTTGGTGACAGTGTTTCCTCCTAAATGTACTGAGTATACTCACCCTTAAATCCTGTTAGGTACCGATAATTATCTGTTGGTATTCTGTATTAGCTCTGTACTAGCATTCACGTTGGACTAGGCTTAATATCGTGAGTGTCAAAGATGACTTGAAAAAGGAAAACTTAATTTATACCCTTTCCTTGTGGTTCTACCCCATGTAGCAGGTGGTTTGTAGAAATACCAGGAGTGCTACAACTGTCTTCCCCCTTTTACTTGCTGTGATTCTCTGCAGGAGAAAATACAGATTTAAATCTATTTTTCCATTCTTTGGAGGCACTGAGATATTATCATGGTGAGGTCCATGGAAATACCCAGACAAACTGGGCCATCATGCAGAGATAAGGCATCTTTTCCATTTGGTTGTTTTTTTTTTTCTTCTGCTGTCCATTCTCCAACCTTTTTTTTTTTTTTTTAAAATGTAAAGCAGTTATTCTCTCATCTGTCCAGTGCAACATCCTCTAGGATATTTGTGGTCTTCCAGAAAAGGTAGGCAGGACTGGAATAACTAATGCCAAAAAATTGCCCACGGCAAGGGAGGGAAATCCTTGTTTTCAAGACAAAACCCTATCCAGGCCTTTTTCATACACCCCTCAGCACACCACAAGGGTATAGATCCCGATTTTTTTCTTTTCCAGGTGATCTTTCAGGCCAAGTAGCAGAGGGCAGGGGTTTGCCCTCCCGGCGGGGCTCAGCCCCGGCACAGCCGGGGTTCCGCAGGTCCAAGCCCCCGGCACCAAGCTGGGCATTTAGGGAGCTCCATGGGGTTGGCTTTCACCGTGTCCTCAATTTGGATCCCCAGGGCAGAAAAATTAGGACTTTCTCAGTTAAAGAAAAAGCCAAAAGTGAAACAAAATCTCTGAAGAGTTGTGTTTCCCCACAGCAGCGACGGCCCCTCAGCACCCGCTTCTGTTCAGCCAGGACCCTCGGGTCAGTCCTGCTGGGTTTTTAGCCATCTTGACCTCATGTTTGCAAATATTATTGGTAATATAATGCTCTATGTACAAATGTCTGTGTGGCTCATGTGTATGTTTCTGTGGTTCAAGTCAGCCACAGACTTCTGGAATTTCATTGTACTTTGGTTAAATGTTGGACTTTTAACTCTTCTACTGTATGGCTTCTTGATTTCTCTTGTCCAATGTGGACCAACTCTATTTTTGGAAATAAATAAGCATGTAAATAAAATGAATGGGTTTATGCCACTTACAAGAAAATGCTTTATTTAAAATATACACTCAGTCTTGTATATTTTATGGTATCTCGGGGAGCAGCGCAGGCTCAGGCCCCAGCAGCCTTAGTGCTGAGATACCATATTATGTACAAATTCACTTCCAAGTGCTTTTGGAAGAAGACTTCCCATCTCCTGAGCCAAACCCCCATAGGACCAGCCTTGCGGAGGAGGGAGGGGGGAATCCAGAAACACGTAGTTTAAGGGGAGTAAAGGAAAGAAACAGGACTTTCCTCTCAACACAAGGCTTCTGGTTTGAGGTGTCCGGGTGCCAGGGATGCCATGGGGCGGTTCTGGCCTCCTGCCTGGGAGCACGTGGAGATCAGGAGCACGATGACATCTTTTTTATTTTTTTACTTTTTATTTTTTTTTAAAAGAACTTCTCCATATAAACCAATATTTACCAGTAATCCTGTGTTTCTGTTTTTGTTTTTTGGCAGACTTTTACCAGTAAATATCGGTTTATTCCTGAAACCAGAAGCCCTAAACATACCTTTGTTTATAAGGTCAGTTGGCATTTTGTCTCTCTCGTTCCCCACTCCTCCCCCAGTACAACCCAGCAGGTGATTGAAAGGTACCGAGTTCTCTTTCTAGTTTTCCTGCTCTGCATCTCTGGGAACTGGAGCCCGCAGGACCTAGAGCCTTCTGTTGGTAACGTAGACCCGAGTTTACAAATTATTCTTTTACCATTTTAAATCCTGCTTTTAAGGACAGAGGTGTTCCCTCCTGCCCACCACGGGAAGTGGTAGAAACCCCTGCAAATGCCCAAATTGCTCCTCCTCTCCGAAGCCTGCGGGTAGGTCTCTCACAAGCATCTTCAGGCTTGGGGCTGAGAAAATAATTTGATCCCAAAATGTACACTAAAAACTGCCATTTCTGGTTTACAGTGAGCAGGACTGGGGGAGGGAAGGGCGGGAAAGGAGTTTGGAAATTATTTCCCCCCCCCCTCCTTTTTTTTTTCTGGAAAGCAAACGTGACACGGGGAGGAGGGAAAGGATGTGAACATGGCCCTTCCTAAACTCATTGTAAACTCTCCCTCCAAGGCTGGGAGAAAGGGCAGGTGAAAGTTCTGATCCTTAAAAGGACATTGCTGGGTGTCTGGGACCCCAAAAGCAGCTGGTGATTTGTAAGGATGGGAATCACTTTTGGTTTATCCCAAGACAAATAGACTTGGGAGTGAGTATTGAAGCCTCTTTCCCCACAAGTGTTTGCCACCCCAACACAGCAGCATTTTGCTAATACACCAGAAACAGAGAAGCTGGTGAGGGATAGAAAATGAATTGACTGCATGGTCCCAGCCAATTTTTTTTCTCCCAGGCAAACAAAATGAAAAAAAAAAAAAAAAAAAAAACAAACCCATCCCTGACCCCACAAAAAGGTAACCTCACAAAAAAGCAAGTCAAAGAGGGTCTCAAACATCCAGGTTTTATAGTGTGTGGTTGTCAGGGGTGTTTTTGGCATAGCTGCAGCCCAACCATGTCCCTTTAAGGAGCACCGTGGCTCGTTTCCTCCTCATGAAGCCCAAGCTGAGGGTTGTGCTGTTCCTGAAGCTCCTGCAGCCTTAGTTGGAGTCCAGAATGAGGGGAGCCCTTCCAGCTGTGCACTTTGAGCTGAAAACTACCTTTCCTCCCCTTTTGCAGCCTGGGTGGTTCTGATTGCTGGCAGTTCTGTAATACAACCTTAATCTGAGCAGTTGAGGCTGGTCCTACCTTATCTTCAGACGTCTTGCGGAGGACTCCTGTTACCAGTTTGGTACTCAAAAGCTACACCCCACCATCAGAAGTCACTTTTTGTTTTTTTCCAAAGGCAGTGATAGCTCACCCTCTCTAGCTCTAATGGAAAACATGATAATTGCAATGCAACTTTCTAATAAATTGTTCATATATTCATAATTCCGTTGCAATCCCAAATTGGAGAAGAGATCTGTTAAAGGTATATATTAGTCTAGATTTTTCTTATTGTAAATACTGTAATTTTATAATACTGTCAATATTTTATTAACTTAGAAATATTTAACAGAGTTTAATCTATGGTAGTTGATTTATTTATAGGTTTATGTTGCAGCCAATTACATTCTAATGTAAGATTAACTTTCAGCATGTAAACATTGAGTGAATATATCATTGGAAAGATTAACAGAGAAAACTCTCGCTCTTAATCTGTAATATTTATCCCCAGTTCCCGGTTGGGAATTATTTCATGAAATATTAGGAGGTTTTGAGAGCTCATGAACCTAAAAACTGCAGTTGGATTTGAAAACTTGAATTTTGAGATGTACTTGGCTCTTCCACCCTGTGAACAAGTTCACTTCAGTACCTGCTCTCTATGGCACGGAAGTCTTTATTTTGAGCAAAGGGACACTGTCAGATCAATTTTAGATTCTTGGGTTGTTGTGGGGTTTTGTTTTTTTTTTTGGAGGGGGGAAGCAAAACGCAGCCCCAGTGCGCGTGTGTTAATTCCTTTTGGATCACAAGGGGAACAGCTCCTCTCCTGAGGCTTTGGGTCCCTGGCCGGAGCATTCCCGCCGCTGGGAATGCCGCATCCTTCATCCCTGCGGCCGGGCAGGGGTGGAGCTCCGGCCGCTCCGAGGGGTCTCCGCAGTCCCGGTGTTCCCACAGTCCCGCCGTTCCCGGCACCGGCCGCCGTCGGAACTCGGGCACGTGGGCAAAACTGCACAAAGACTAAAACCTGACAGTTTTTGACCAAAGTTTTTCCTTTTTTTTTTTTTGAAAGTTTAAGTCTCTCTCTCTCTTTTCTCCTGATGGTGTCCCTTTAGCATCATAAAGATGTTCTCTGAGAACCATGAGAAGTGATTTGCTTTCCAAGGCAGGGGAGAATTGGTCTGTCACGTGTTTGCAATGCAACTTGCCTAAAAATACCAAAAATATCTCGAGGGTTTTCACAGGCGTTGGTATTTTTTTGGAGTGTAAAAGTTAATCTTGATTAGAGATGTGCCAATCTATACTGCTTTCCTGTAGTGTTGTTACACTTAGGCATTTCAGTTCACTTATGAATATATACTGTAACAGTATACTTTGTACAGATTTATTTTAAAAAAATTTATTTGAAAACTGAAATAAAGTAGGCAGAAAATAAAGATATTTATTTTTCATTTGACTATGTAAGAAGGTATCATTCTTTTGGTTTTAGTGCACTGGTGTACCAAGGCTCAGAACCACTGCTTTCTCCAGCTCATAGGATGCTTTTCCAGACTGTGGATACGTGTATGTGTACTGCTGTGTTGATAAGTAAAAACCAACGATGGAGTTCGTTGCTTTTAGACATCCCAAAGAGAAGTTCTCCACCGTTCCCTGTCTGTTTTCTGACTGAAAAGGCGTGTTTGTGAACAGTGTTCACGCGAGCTCTGCCATCCCACCCTCACATCAGCTCACACCAATGCCAGGATGGGAGGAGTTGCCAGCGGACCTTCCCCAAAAACACCCCGGGCCCGCAGTGACATCGTCAGGGAGCAGTTCAAACCTGTGTCCTTTGGGCTTTGTGTAAAGCAAACGCAGAACGAGAAAAATCGAGATGTTAAATCCATTAGAAAACCAATTCCTTATTGTACAGTAGTATGGAGATCTCTAGTCAACCTGCCATTAATAATAGATTCTTATTTTTTGAATGATCTATTTAAAAGAACAGCAAGCATTGTATTTGCTAGTAAATCTGAAGTGTTTACATGGAATTACTAAATAAATTATTTGATCTAAGATGGCTCTCATCAGTGCTGATTTTTAATAATGGAAATCCATTTCGGCAGCTGCTTTTTTAGTTCGTGCTGTTCTTTAAAATCTTCCAAAGCAGGTTTGGTTGGTTTTTGGTTTTCTTTCACTGCATCCTTGTGGTTCCAGTTAGGTTCTGAGGAAGAGGCAGAGCCTGACAGGAGTGCTAGCTCATGTTTTCCAACCCCTTCCATGAGGCTGCCCCTTCACATCCCACACAGCTGAGGTGGAGCAGGATGCTCTGAGCCCCAAGCCCTGCTGCTCACCTGTGGTTCTTTCCAGGCTGAGTCCTGGTGCATGGAGAGAGAGGAACTGTTTTAGCAGAAAGCATTGGGATAGAAGTAAAACATCATCCTGCAAGGTAATGAGTTCCAGAACTCAGTTCCAGCAGTGCTCAGTCCTGCCTTCTGCTGTCCCAAGGCTCCAGGAACACCCTGTGCTCCCTTCCCCGTTCCCCTGCTCAAGGCCCATAGATCCAGAGAGGCTAAAGCAGATTAGGCCTTTGGATCATCAGCAAGGCCAAAGGCAAATTCGGGGGCTTCCAGCCCTTCCAAGCCCCAAGAGCTGCTCTCTGAGGTGAGAGCTGTGCAGCCCCCAAAGCTCCCTGGTGGTCCGGGGCTGGAGGATGGGGTAGGGAATGCCCAGGGTGGAGGGGCTGCGCCTGGAGAGCGGCGGGAGCGAGAGGCTGGATGCAGAAATCCCTGTACCAGGAGCAGCAGGAAGAGCAGGCAGGCGTTGCAAATGCCGAGTCTGGCCACACCGTGTCCCCCTCCAAGCGCCGCACACGCAGCTTTCCCTGTCAGGCGTTCGGGACTGGGGAAAACGAAACTATCAATAATGCACCTGTCCCCGCATTCCCCGTTCCCAGCCTGGCTCGCACACGCGCTGAGTCACCCCGTGCTTAATTCAGTGCTCCCAGCGCCAGATCCCTGGCTACAAACGCATCCAAGGCTTGCATTATGCACTAGCAGAAATTTTTGTTGGACATGGATTTCACGCTTCATGTTCAGGGCAGGATTCCCGTCCCGCCCCGCCCTCGCTCCGCCGGCTGGGGAGGGGCGAGGCCAGACCCTGCTCCACGCAGATGGACAGCGAGTCCTCCAGCCTCCCACTCCCCTTTCCCACTCCTCCAAACCCTTGATGGTTTGGACAGGTCCGAGATGTCCATCCCTGGGCCTTGTGGCACAGCCCCAGGTCTCCCCGAGCCTCCCACCCCAGGAGCTCTCCCATCACACCACACTGTTCCACTGGAAATCGTTCAGCTCTCACTTATTCCTCTACACAGCATATTTACACGGGTCTCTTTCTCCTGTGTGAGCTGACCCATGTTCATCAGCAGTACATTCCTAGAAATTTGCTTTCTGGTTTGGGGGAAATCGAGCACAAGGGTAAAATGTCTCCATTTGTCTGAGTAACATCAGGAAACCTATCTGGGCCAGATGCTTCTCCAAGTTGATGCCCCCCAGCCCTGGCTAATGGTTGGTGCTTCAGAAGAAGCTGGAAACAGCTGCTCTGCACCTTGCCAATCCATGTATGGCACTTATTCTGGAAGAAAATACTTTCTCTTTAGCTTTATTTCCCACCCACTCTATAGCACATGGGAGTGACCCACAGCTTTGATCCTGCTGCCTCTGGTGTCTTCTCTCCTCATTTTAATGCTTTAAACAAAAACCAGACTGAGACATGGGGCAAAAACACTGGTCACAAGCTTGTGTTTTTAGTAATTGCCCATGTTTGTTTGTAAGGGATGCTCCAGTAACTCAGATATGGAGCATCCTGAGCTGGCCTTGCCTCACACGATGGCTCCCAACCAAAGCAATTCCTTCCACGCTGGCTTGCTTGGCATTGCAAAGGACCTGATGACTTTTCTGGGAATTGGCTAAAGTAGGTTATTCAAGATAAAAGGAAATGCCCCAGGGTGGCATTCCTGACCTAGGAAACCAGAGCAGGTACTTTTGCTGCCACCACCACTGCTGCTCACATGGAGAGGGGACTTGAAAGCCAGCTGTAACTGCCCAGTCCTGCCATGCAGGTGTTGGGAGTAGAGACTGCTCTGGATTTGCAGGAATGCTTAATTGCAATGAGGAGGCATAGGCATGAACTTGATCCATCTCCTAAGAGCTTCCCTTTCAGCAGAGCATGGGAGCTGTAAAGGCAATACTTGATTTATTTCACCCCAGATTCGTTTCTCCAAGTCTAAAATACGGGAAGTGGGGAAAGAGAGGAGCTTAAAAGGGAACAAAAATACTGATGGTAACATCAAATAGTGGTTTGAGTGGGAAACCAGCCTGATCATTCGTTGTACCCACCCACAGGAGGGGTGGGAGAGGCTGGTCTCCTGCTGTGTTTTATATGTATGTTTTTTAATTATTTTATAACTTACCCAGCTTTCAAGTTGGCCTGGGACTCAAAAGCCGTGGCAAGGTCAGAGGGTGATTCCTGCTGCCAGGCAAGGAGGATGGCAGTGTGACTCTTGGGGAGCCATTGCTCTGCACCCCCCAGGCAATCTGGGACACAGATGTCTCCAGCTGCTCTGGAGCTTGGCTGGGGCATTCAGGGGCAGATCCTTGTCATGCAGAGACTGCTGAGGGATCTGTATCCACGGGGCAGTGCAGTCAAGCCCTGTTAGCACTTACACTGGGCACTTGGTGCCAGGGGTTGCCCACAAGAGCTTGACCCTGACAAGGGTGCCCCAGGAGAGCATTAAACACAGAGGGGAAGAGGAAGGGACTGGGTTTGAACAGCAAAGCCCAGCTCAGCCCTGCTGTCCCTACAACAGGCTTTCCTGCACCTCCTTTTGCTCTCCCTCTCAGAAGTGTCTCCCTGGGCCAGCCTGCATCTGTCACAGCCAGAGGATTGACCAGAAGGACTGAGCTGTACTAAAATCAGAAGCGGGAGATGCCCAAAGTGCCTCTCCCTGCCCTACTGGGTGAGACAGACAGTGATGATGGCTGTGTCCTCCACCACAGCTCACATCCCACAAGGATTCCCAGCTGAGGCTGTTCACCTTGGCCATGGGAATGAACCCACAGTGTCCCTGCCAGGAATGGTCATGGAAAAGCACCTTGCCACGCTCTGCATGCTGCACTGGCGGAGGGATGGGATGGCCTCCCGACAGGCACGAGGGCAGGCGGTGGCCTGGTGTGGCTGCTGGGCTCCCATGAGCTCAGGAGCACTCCGTGAGTGAGCACTGACAGTGCCTGCCCTTAGGGGGTCCTCGAAGCTCTTCTGAGTGAGGGAGGTCAGATCTGCCCCCACCACTCTGCCCGTCAGTGAATCCATCCCAAGATAATCCCGTGCGGCTGGAAGATCATGTCACTCTTTGACAAAAATCCCCTCTAGTAGGAATAGAGAAGCTGTGGCTGCTCCATCCCTGGAAGTGTTCCAGGCCTGCTTGGAGGGGGCTTGGAGAAACCTGGTCTAGTGGAAGGTGTCCCTGCCCGTGGCAGGGGGGTGGAACTGGGTGACCTTTAAGGTTCCATCCAACCCAAACATTCCATGATTCCATTAATAGCAACAGCTTTCCCTCTGGCTAGTGGTTCCCCGTGCCCCCTGAGGGTTTGCCCTGTCTCACAGCAGATGTCCCCAAAGACTTTGTGATCAGCATTGCCTGGACCAGCAGGAAGGGAGCTTGAGGGTTTCATGGAGGGTGAAGCAGGGAGTGCTGGGGACAGAGGAGCCCCCACTGCTCTTTGGGAGGGGCTGTGTTTGGGCTGAGTCCTGCCAGTGCCCAGCAGGAGTGGCTGAGCCTGGGGCTGCACAGTGTTAGATCCAACATCCAAGAGCATCCAGGGACCTCCCAGCCCAGGGCTCTCCCCATCACATCTCCTCCTGTGCACCCAAAACCCCACTGCCCAGACCTGGGGTGGAGATGCAGCACAAAGGGGCTGCAGGGGCCTGTTCAGCCCAACCCTGTGTCTGAGCACACTGACAGTAACGTCGTGTGCAGGATGAGCTGAGTCCAGCTTTGGTGTCCTCTGGCTCTGCTTCTCCTCCCAGTTAGGGGCACTAATGCCCCTAATCTTGCATTTTCTGTGGTGAATTTCCATTAGTTGGTGTTCAGCCTGCAGCTCGAGGATTTCTCAGCAAGCTGCTACTTTTCTGTGATGGAATTAGTGACAGTGGGTACAGCAATAACAAGTAATTATTCAGTGACCTAGAAATGACCTTTAGATTTTAAAAATCCCTGGGTTTACCCTGGGCCAAACGTTCATGAACCTAAAGGAGCTTCTGGAGCGCCAAGATTTGGGCAATAGCAAAGCACTTGGGAAGGAGCAGCACTGGGAAGTCTCTCAGTGAGTGAAGGATCCTGAGTCCTGCTGGTGTCCCAGCCTCCCAGGGCCATGATGTCCCTATCCAAGTGCTAAGACACAAGGATCTCTGCCATAGACTGTGCAGCCTCTGGCTGGAAAAGCAGCCCAGCCATGGCTTTTTGAGAAGTGGGAGGGATTACCCAGTCCACCCCCCAAACCAGCTGTGGGCACGTGGCCATTAGATGTGAGACTGCTTGTGGGAACATCTGGCCACCACCACTGCCCATCCCAGGACATTTGTGTCAGTCTTAAGGCCACCAAACCTGGTGCTGGCACAAAGTTGGCACCACCCTTGGCCCCAGCAGGACACTCCACAAGGAACAGGCAGGAAAGACTTTCTCAGCTCCAATTCATGGCCTGCCTCCAGTGCCACTGGACTGGGAATGGGCTGGGCAGGGTCTCCTGAGCCCTGCTGGCCTTCGTGCAGACTCACTCCCTACAACATGGTCTTCTGCCCTGTTTTTGGATGTGGGATGCTGATGACCCTCTTGGGAGATCCCACATGCTGCCCAAGCTCCTCTAAGGAGGAGATGAACCTTGGACTGGGGAACCAGTGACCTCTGAGCCTCCCAGTCGTTCAGCCCCTACTGAAGGAGAAATCTGTCTCCCAGGGATGGCTCAGGAAGCCAGATGAAGGATAAATTTCAAATGTTCCCAGTGAGGATTCTCATGGAC